TTCTATGAGGGATCACATTGCATCCTGTATATTAGGCATAATCTAAGGTTTTAGGAGAACTAAGGAAACTGACATTTAAAAGAATATTCACTGTACAGATATTTCTTTAATGCACAAATCAGTCGTCTTCTCATCTGTGCCACAATTAACACTGTGAAGTGTGAGACTTATACTAAAAAGTATTCAAAACCTAAAAAGAGCATTGGGACTCACTTGTTCAAACACTGCCTCAGCTTCTGTTACTTACAACATTTTTATATGTTCTTTTGTGTGGCTACAATAAGTTAGATTGGGAGACAAATTTCTTCTGTTGTTACAGAACGTTTACATCTCCCTACAGGAAACTGTCAAGCAGGCCAATTTATCTTACATGGCATTGCCATCAGCTAGAAGAAAAGTGCTAAGAAAGCACACTTGCCTTCTTTCAAACTGTTCTGTAGACCTTCAATGAAATAGGATATTGCTTTTATGCGTGGTTTTGGATTAAAACAAAGTGAATTTTTCCTTAAGCTTGTTATACCAAGAAAAGTCTAGAAGACTATAAAAGACTATTACCTCAACTAAACTTTATGTAGTAGACTTCAAAATTCCTTCAGCTTTAATATTACTTCTGAAAACACTGTATGAGCGTAGCGTCTTAATTACATTTCTGCTAAGAGGCATCAGAAATATTTAGCCAGTTGTGCTGCCTATAAATCTACTGATTTATAGAAAGTCATAAAATATACTTTTCACACATTTTACAAGTAATGAAGAACACTTATTGCTAGGATAAAATAACTGCAGAGTTAAATAGTGATTTGGCTTTGTTTTAATTACTCAGAGCCTGAACAAGCACAGAAATCACTGGCGGTCACAACATTTGGACAGCAATGTTATTATGGTGAGTAGAATTCGTAACAGTGCCATGTGGTTTGTTTTCCCAGTCATTAAATCCATGGTTAATCTTGCTTTTATGGTTTTATGCAACAATTTAGGAATATTATCCAGTCTTTTTTCCAGTGTCTTCAACATAACAGTATTACATGGTTTTCATTTATTTTTATTTACTTCAGCCAAAATCAGAGGATGAAGAAGGCTGGAAGAAGTTCTGCCTGGGTGAAAGAGTATACTCAGAAATAGATGCACTACCCAATGATGAAAATATAGGAATCGATTACATAAAGGTAAGTATAGGACTTATATCTAGTTTTCAGCTGCTATTTTGTAAACTAACTGCCAGAAAAAATCCTACTACTTACTACCACTTTGTGCTAAATAGAAAGTAGGCACTCTGGTGAGTGCAGAAAGTCTCATTTTTCATTCGTTTTAAGCACAAACTGTGAAGCAGAGAATGAGTCTGTCCCTTCAGTCAAAAAGCTGAAGAGTTCCTTCACCTGTTGTCAGCTTAAGCACACTACTTTGTTGCTCGCTGGACTGAATGGAAAGCTTTCTGCATAGTCTGCTTTAGTGTTGGTTGCATAGTGATATGTGATTACTCCTCATACATGTTATCCTACAAACGTGCCCTTCACTGCATCATTTTGAAAAAACAAAACTTTAACAAGAAACAGTAAAAGCAAGGTTCTCTGATACCAAATTTGACTGGACCTTATCTTAAACTTGCTTGAAGATTTTTTAACAGATTTCAAAGCTCTGAACAGACTTTCAGATCACTGGAAGTGTCTGAACATCAGCTTAAAATCTTAATATGTTTCAGATTAGAACAAAAATGTTTATGATGTTTGCATTTTCCAATTTCATGTTTTTTAGGTGGGCTTTCCCCCTTTGCTAAGTATTGTAAGCAGGATGAATCAGGTAAGCCTACCTCTTAAAATATGAGAAATAATGATGTAGGCAATGTCACTGTGTGATTCTGTCTGTTGGAGCAGTCTTCTCGAGTTTTTTGTGCCTAGAGTAAGCAATTGTTTATTGCAACTTCTATTCCTTGTACACTTTGAGGGAAGACATGTAATCATTATCTCACCTTCAGCTCCAAATGACTTTACTAGGGAATTTACTAGGGAATTTTCCTTACTAGTTCTAAGAGTATTTTGTTGTTGTAATTTCTCTATAGAACATTTAGTGTTTGAATTTTTGCTGAATGCCCCAATAGGTGTTGACAATGTTTTAAGATTTCTCATTTGGTGTTTTAAGTGCAGCCCTTCAACTTGATTATCAACTTTTATGTACATTGCTAGACAAGAAGAATCACCTTTACCATTCCTTTACTACATTTCCCACTAGTCATCTTTAAGCAGAAACAACCAGTCAGCGTGATGCCTCTTTCCTAATCTGTAGCTATTTATCCATAACATTTGTTAACATTGAAAATTACTTCATTTTATATAAAGTTCTTTCTGGAAGTGGTGCTTAACACATTTACTTTACCCTTATATGTAACTTCAACATGGAATAAATACCATGTAGTATCACAGTGGAGTAGAAATTCTTAAAACCCTTCAGGTAGAAGGACAACAAAACAAAACATTACAAGTATTGTATTGTCTCTTTCTGTTCCTCTTTTGAAGGCAACAGTAACCAGTGTCTTAGAATACCTGGTAAGCTGGTTTGGAGAGAAAAAATTTACTCCAGAACTGGTAATTTTTAATTTATTTTAACTACTTGCACGTGAATGCATTAAACAAAGCATAAACTGTTTATAGTTTTCTATTAAATTATTTTAATTTCTAAAGAGTTCTTTAGATGGATGTGTCATATTGTTATGTTTAAAGCTTTCTTGATTAGATATTAAAATAAGTATTCACAGAACTTGTTGGAAGACTGATTACAAAACATAACATACAGACCTAACGAGTATTGCCAAAACCCCTCCCCTTTTTATCACTCCCCAAACTAACTTAAGCCACAAGGCTTGATGATTATCGGTGTTGGAGAGAGCAGAGGGTCAGAGAGCAGCAGCTTTGGTTCTGATCAGTTTAAGCTGCCAGGGCGCTGCACACTGTATTTACCAACACTTCCATTTTAGTTTGGAGGTGATTGACAGTGCGCTGGCAAAGACACATTTAATCTTTCCATGTGCAGCACAGACCAGAAAGCTTAGCTGCATTAGTGTGGTGATAAACCAAACCTAAGAAATCCTGATGGACGGGGTACATTGGCACAGAAGTTGGCCACACCTAGACTGACCAGCTCCGTAATGGCATAGTATCTACAGAACTACATAGTATCTACAGAACATATCCTTCAGTACCACAAAGTGAGAGAGTCATGGAAAATTACTTCCATGACACAGTTTCACTATTTTTGAGTCACTAAAGCCTTTCATGTTCTTTCCTTTTCTGTATTAATTCCGTATTAATTCTGTATTAATTTATATTTTGGCCAACATTCAAAAAATGCCAGGAAACCCAGGAGTACTGCTCACAATCTTATCTAGAGGCACAAAACTCTCTACCATGTAGTATCTAATTTGGTTTTCAAAATTCAATTATGGCATGTAGCACTTAAATGCAATTTTGTTTTGAGACTTACACTCCAGTCCTACTCTGTATAACAATAACAGCTTGAATATTCAAGGAAATGCTTATAATTAAAACTTTGTTATTTGAATCCTCACAGGGTAGATGGCTTTATGCACTGCTGGCATGCCTTGAAAAACCTTTGCTACCTGAAGCTCACTCCCTTATTCGACAGCTGGCAAGACGATGTTCAGAAGTCAGGGTACTAGAGGTAAGATTTAATATAACATTGTGCAAAGGACTTGGTGAATTTAGCAGATTAAGAGGATTATTTTTCAGTTCTTGAAGTCTTAGTAATTAACTTTTCATGTCCTAAGTTTGCTTGAGAATGAAGGGAAGACTGCAAATACACACAACACGGCATGTAACAGCTTTTCTATTTGACATAGACAACAAAAGAATATTTATCTCTTTTCTAATATTTACCTCTTTTTCAGGAGAACAAGAATGAAGAACAAATATCAGCTCTGAACTTGATAATCTGCTTAGTTAGCAGGTAATGCAACTTACACATCTAAAACAGTAATGTATGTCCAGCATAAATACACCTAAAACAGTAACATATGTCCAGCATAAATGTGTGATTACTTGTCCTAACCTATGTTCTTTTAAAAATGGAAGTACCCTGGACCAATATCACAAATATATTTAGCTAAAAGGACTTAAGATAAACCTAAGAGTAAAAGTAAGCTTAATTGCTTTCCTCAGATGAGCCACCTGAACCATAAAGCTGTAATTATGATAGAAACACTAAAAGAAGAGCTAGAAAGCAAGGGATCTAACAACTCAAAGTATGGAGTACATTGCATTAGAGGTTTTTTACCATATTCCACTTCATTCCACTAGGTACTTTGATCAACGTGACCTGGCTGATGAGCCTTCCTAGGCCATTTTGAGAATATCCAGTGTTTTGTATTGCCATAGTACAAACAGCATTATCGGACTTAACAGCAAGACACTGCACTGTTCAGACCCGAAGTACTATACAGTCCCTCTGGAATACCCTCACCCTAATGTATTGGGGACAGCCATGAGTACCTTAAGCTGAACATTAGCATGAAATTGTCAACGTCTCTGATACCATCATCGCCATCGTCGTAAAATGGTAAATGAAGTGTCTGGCATCATCTCTGAAGCTCCTGTAAACTACATTCTTGGTTAGAAATTTCTACCATCTGAGTAATCCTGTGAACACTGCTATTAGGTGAAGTCTGAGGTTACATTACAAATGATTGCTCTTTTTCTAACACACCTATTGAGGACTTTTTTAAATAAAACTAAAGGATTTTAAAGAGCGTTTGTCAACATTGTGGTTTTTCTCAGTCAATACTATTTAACAGCAGCCTTACTATAGAAATTTACACAGCTAGGGTTGAAGGTACCTTTTCAAGTCTTGAGCTTAAGCACTGCTAAGCAGTTCAACTATATCCAGTAGGTTACTGAAACAATTGTTTTAGCAAAATGTAAATATTACTACTTCCCAAGTAGTAATACTATTTTTAGTAAAGAGTTGTAGAAACCAGAGAAAATTACACATCTGTATTCAATGCTTTTATTAGAAGCATTTATTAACAGAATCAACAAATTTATTTTCTGTATGATTATCTTGACAAATACATCACCTCATTTATTTACATATATGTTTAACGTGGAGTGCTTTGCCAAGAGGGTCAGCATCTGCTTGGTACATACATAACTCCCTCTGGTTATAATTGTCTTCACCAATTAAAAATCCATTTTAAAGGAACTATGAATTCAGGTCATAGCAACCAATCGATATAATATTAAATGACGTGCTTTCTGTGTATTGTGGAATTTAAGTCCCTCCCCTCGCTATTAAAAATAATTATTGGCCATAACCAGTTATTGATACATCTTCAAAATGTCTTTGAATGATTGGCATTCTTGCATCTGGAATGGTAGTCTTAACTGTCAATTGAAAAATCAAAATTAATTGCAATAACTACCAGAGTCTTAATTCTTGAGATGCAAGTAACAGATTCTGTACATGATAATGCCATGATGATCCTCACTGCAGATGCTTAAGGATGATGACATTGAAACGTCCATCTATTAGACATACAGCACAAATTATTTCTAGTCTCTTCATAGTAACATTTTCAGCATGTTGAAAGCAGAAACCCAGGTAATGCAAGAATACGAGTTAGCTAATTCTCCACTCCTACAACTGCAAACAAATCTGAGTTATCAACGGGAACAACAACCACCACCTTCCCCTAAATTACCAGTGTAAGAACCCAGTGTTTTCAATCAAACTACAAGTCACCACTGAGCAGCATACTACTGTAGTTACTTTCACCTCTGCTATTTTTATAAAAAGTGGGACAGCATTCTCCTGGATCAAATTCTGCTCTATATGTTTCCAAGAACTGTTAAGTTATACAGCAACAGCTAATCTGAACTAGCATTCACAGTACCTGAAAAAAGGAGAACTTGGTCACATCTTAAGCTCAAGTATAATAAAGCCCTGGTTATCACACTTATAGTCTCTAGCTTGCCAGCTTGTGACAGCTTTCTAGAAAAGTCTTGATCCATTATAAGTTTCAGACCTTTCCTAGAACTTAGGGAAGAACAGTTTCCACTGTTCTTGCCCACTGTGCAACTGTACAATGTACACTTCTCCCAACACAGAAGGTAGCTGTGTATCAAAGGTGCCATGTGAGCTTTTCTAATTAGTCTGTTATTTACTGGCCTCAAAAACAGAAACTGAATCACTCTCACAAGGCATTCTCACACTTCTGAATAAACACTGTTTCTATTGTGATGCATTTCAAGGTAAGGCCTGAACCTGCCAACAGAAAAGTCTTACAGCAAAATTCATTAGAAGTTTTAACAAGATATTTTCATGCTTACCTACAGCAAGATACGTATTGTTATGCAAATCTTGTAACAAGTATCTAGCAAACCCCAGTGTCCTTAAGAGTCTTGGTGATATCTTCATAGCTTCTTTCAGGCCTAATCATCTTCCTGCACACACTCATTACAGAAGTGATCCGTAGCTAGCAATTAAAAATAAGTACATTAATACCAAGTTTATGCACAACAAGCTAGAACAATTTTCCTTCTTGGCCACTATAGATAACCTTAGGTGTAAAATCATTCTGACACAAAAAACAGGTGCTAATTTTAGGGAGGTAGGAGAAACTGTTTAACTATGGAGAAGTAAGTTCTTGTTTCTACTGCATCATACCTATGTTCCTACATGCCACATGCCCCATTCCTACACGTGCCAATGGCTCCCTCAGAGAAATACAAACGCACTCTCTGCTCCCTAACAGTTCAAAATGAACATGGAAAGACAGTAGTTGGGCATTCACATTAGGTGACACAACACACATTAGTTTCTTATTCCAGTTTCATCTTGGTCAGGCTTTAGTTTCTTATTCCAATTTCATCTTGGTCAGGCTTTTACTCGGTTCTCAAACCATGCCTCTGGTCTTCCAGATGTGCTCTTTTGGAATTGAAATATTTTGCTGAAAACTTTTGGGTACACAGTTTTTACACAATTGGATATTAATACCTTGGAATAGAATAAATTTCATACCAAGAGACAAGGATAGTGTTATTTCGATTAACATTTATTACATATTTTGGAATTGTGCTGCACACTGCTATAATTTACAAGTTATATACAAGACTGAGCCAAGATACTGAATCCATACACAAAGGATTTTTAAGGTAAATACCCAGATTTGAATGTGCTCTACATCTTCTGTATCATCACCTGAAATTTACCTGAAAAAAAAGCAAAGTCAGATCACATTATTACTATTAGAGTTATTTCTCCAAGTAACTATTTTCTTGTAATAATTTTTTTAAAGAAATAGTAAGGAACAGTGCGATCTTACAGTTTAATTGTAAGCAATTGTGCCATTACTTCAATTTAGCATTTAAATTTTAACTCCAGCTGAAGAGCTTTTTCTTTCTTTTCTTTTTCCCTGTAAGCTGATCCATTCCCACATCACAGAAGTTAGGTTACCCAAATTTAGAATTTTGCAAAGTCTGTGGAAAATTTTTAATCGAGCAGCTTAGGTAGTTACAACGGACTTGACTTACTAACTTTCTTAATGACTCCTGTAGAGAAAGATCTTTGTTTACTCAAATAGCTTTCTGGACATACATCCTTATGCATCTGATCCTTCAAAATACAACTTTTTAGTTTTGCTTTCCACTCAACATGATGGCGGTTTATCCTCCATTAGTATTTTCTAAATACCAAAGTGTTTAGTGGAAAGCTGTATCCTGAAGTTCGTATGGATTTCTATAGCCCAGTAGCTTCAAACTAATCCCACCTTGATAAATGCTTATACAGTGATGAAATCAGCCAGGAAAGTTACAAAGTGAAGTAGTAACTGAATACTCCAAGAACTACTTACATGCAGGCATTGATGAAACTTCAGCTGTTACAATACTCTTTATTCCCAAATTCGATAGGCCTCCTCTGATTAGTCCACAGGTAAAAGCTAAATACTAAATACAAAGTTGCCTTTAAATAAGTGTCAAGGCTGAAGCTTGTTGATAAAGATTGAAACTAAGTACTCAAGCACAAGACTTAATATTTGGACAATAGAAAGCTATGGAATTTTTGTTATGGCGTTTGAGAGACTTTGTCAGGTCTCTAATGGACGACAGCTCCAGTATTTGGTAGAGCAGAGCTCACAACGCAGATTGCTCTTGTTAGGGGCACTATTCTTGTTTCTAATTCCATTAAACCTTTAGGAATTTAATATCCTTAGAACAATATTCCTAAGACTTGGCTGAAATTAGCAACTGGCATTAAAGTCAATAATAAGAGGAATGGTCCAAGAGGCCACATCGTGGAATACAAAGGCCTGCAGATACTTAAAATGTATGTTGCAAAACAAAACAAACATCTCACCAAACACTAAAAACAAAAAAATCCCAAGGACAGTAGCCAGCAATAAGATGACCAAGAATTAAGAAACCATAAAATGGAACTGAATGTCCCATTTCTTACATCCACCTGAACCAAAGTGCTTTAAAGCAGGTTCTGCAGAGGCACTGATTTTCCTTACATGAACTATTACCCTAACTCAGCATCTTCAATCAGAACTGTTTTTAACTGGTGGAAGATCTTTCTGAATGTTCCTATCAGCTCACCTCCGAAGCTTGTTCTCAGTAACAAATAGTATCTTCCAAATTTTTTTCTGGACTTTTAAAAAAGCTTCTGAAAGCACATGCTTTCCAAAGAGAATTTGTGTGACAGAAGCAGATAGTGGCGGATAACTGAAACATAACAGCAGCAAGTTTCTCAACGACCATGAGCGTTTCTTGTACCATAAATCAAATTCGCTGTTCCAAAACAAGGTGCATTTCTAAAAAGTACACAGGTTCTGAAAACTCATCTTTGGCTGACCTTTTGAAGAGTTTGTATCCATTCAATTACACAGTTTAAGTGTTATTATTAATAGATCAAGGGAACTCAAATCAAACTGGTGGACCCCACATATAATATTGAAGGGTACCTTTGGTGCATGTTCTAAATACTGCTTTCCTGCAGACATTTGTGTCAAGAGACGAAATTTATTGTCTTGAAGCACATAAATACCCTGTTTAAAAAGAAAAAAAAAGTTGTTTTTTTTTTTAGCTGAACGTGCAGTAATTTAGAATCAACATTTTATGTGAATACATTTGATTTGTAGGTATATCTTGTTTATCTCCTTCTTTATCTTTGTTCTAGGCTGAAAAATTAAATTTTACATTAAGGCACATGTGATTTAAGTTTAAATTGTATTATATACTTGCAAGGAATATCAAACCAAAAGGTACTTAATTACGAGTTTACAATGAAACTCCTAAATAATATTATGATCTCTAAAAAATTTTTATGTAAATTTCTTCTTGGAAGAGTCCTTCTGGTGCTCAGAAACCATAGTTCCATACCAGAAAGTCTTTGACCATATATCAAATGCATACTGGTTTTTACATTCAAATCTCAATCTTCATCTGGTATGCAATTCACTATTCTGATTCTCAAATTCAGTGGGAATCACTTTCCTTAAGAGCGGTACAAGTAACAACAACCAGCAAACAACAGAATTAACAGTTTGGTGTTTTCTACATTACAAATTTGTGTAACAATAATAAATTACTCTAATAAAAATATAATTAATTAATTAATTGTGGACATAGTATAGCTTTATCTACATCTGTCATTTTAATTTCTTTGTTAATGACTGTACTACTTTGGAATTTCTTAACCCTTGAACTTAAATGAAGGTTGTATATACAATTAAGATCTTAAGCTCAATACTGCAGCTTTCTTTGAAACAGATTTCTAACATAATAATTATCTGTTAGAGTTAATACTTGATAAACAAATCACTGAAAAATAAAACCTATTTTATTTGGCACAATCCTTGTACAAATCCTCTTCTTCCTAATTGGACACAACAGGAAAATGGCCACAAGAAAACCAAGTCATTAATAGGAAAAAAGCTTTTTTACTCTAGTAAAATGGCTCCTTACATTATTTTGATCTTGCTTTAAGAACTGTAACTGTTAATATAGGCAAGGACATGGATATAGCACAATGTCACCAACACACAAATTTGAGAATTTTTTCAGCAGTTTCTTATACAAGTATGTTCACTAGAGTCTCAGCTGCTGAAAACTGTAAATATTCTTCAAAATAAAAAATTACTTCAAGGTAGCCATTCTATTTAAACATATGTTAAGACAGCAACATCATTTTTTCACTAGTTTTCTACTAACATTTAGAGATACATAAAAATGTTCTTGTTTAAATGTTAATGAACTATAACCACTACTTCCCTCTCTGTAAATGCAACAGTGCATAAGAAATTCAAAGCATTGAGTCTTTTCAAACAGGGTGGCCATAAAGACATTACCAGCAATTATTACATTGTATTCTGAAGCTACCTGCTAAGATAAATATTACAAAAACTTGCTTTTTAAACAAAACAAAAAAGAACATTTTGAGTTTCTTATCAGGTAATTAATTCCAGAGCAAGAAAACCAAAAAATGCAATAGCTACTCAAAACTCATACTGATTTTGTAAATTAAATCTCATTCTACAGCATTAGTACCTGATGATTAGTCCTTAGGTTATCTATTTGTTTTTTGAATACAGTTGTCCAAAAATCTTTGCAAATGAACTTCATAATATCTAATTCATCCTTGAACCTGGCAGTATCTTTTGTAAACCTAAGAGATAAGTGAGATATGTATAAATAATGATGGTACACACATCACCAATTAAACAGAAAAATAAATTTTTAAAAATGGTACTATGCAACATTATTTTTGATGCTGTTACAGAAATTAGTTTTCCAACCATTGTACAGTATCATTCTAGCATCGCACTGCATTCAACAAGTATTTTAACTTAAGAGCAACACAGCATTATCTTAATACCCGCAACATGACTGCAGAATAAATTGTTTTAATTCCATGATTATTAAAGATGACCGACATACACAAAGATGCAAAGCACTCCATCAGTTTTATCTTCCATTAATTGTCTACACAGGAAATAAAACGCGCATACCTATACTACTGCTTGAAAAGAATCCTTCAGATATGCAAAAGAGCGCTAACACATAGGAACAAACATGTGAAACTTATTCCTGTTTTTCAAAAAGGGACATCTCTCTCTTGTTTGTTTCAGATTTTTCTCCCTTTATCCTCCTTGAGGGCTTTTATCTGGCACTACAACACCGCCTTGCTCAATGAAAGCATCACTTCAGAAGACCAAGAGTCTCCACACGACCCCGGCACGAGGGCGCTGAAGTTGCATCGCGGGTCCCCAAAGGGCCCGAGCAAACAAGGCGGCAACGAGCTCGGTCGCCAAGTACCAAGGACTGGGAGAGCTTTGCAGAAACGAAACAGAATGGCAGCCAAACATAAAATTGCGTTTAAGAAGTAAATAAGAAAGAGAATAAGATCATGAAACGTATCAGAAGTAAGAAACATGCAAAAGTCTACACAAAGTGCAACTAAAGATGATTATAAGTATTAAGAGCAACCGTATACCCTCACTCGGTTTTCATGACGGGAAGCACTAGGCAAATCCATACTCCAAAACTATCCTGTGATACTCAAATACAGGTGCCCACCAGAATAGGATTCCAATACAGAAGATGCCGGGAGCCGGAGGGACTCACCTCTCGATGAGCCCCTGCCCGACGCGGAAGCCCATGCTCTCCAGCTTAGTGGTGCAGCGCCCATTCTCCTGCAAGACACAACGCGCCGCCACCGCGTCAGCCCCGGCTGCTGCCGGGCGGCCCCGGCTCGGCCCCGGCCCCACTCACCCCTTCGCCCTGCTCGGCGGCGCGGTACAGCCCCGCCACCATCTCGCTGTGCAGCAGCAGGAACAGCGCCTCGTCCGCCATCGCCGCTCCGGCGCCTCCGCCCCTTCCGGGCGGGCCGGGACACGGCCGCAGCTCCCGGCCGAGGCGCGGCGGTCAGACAGCGCGACCGGGCCGGTTCTCCTTGCCAGGGAAGCGCTGGGAACGGGACTCTCGCGTTACGGGTCTGCAGAGCCCGCGGGCTCGGGCGGCTCCGGTCGCGGAGCTGCTCCCACCCGCCCTACTGCTGGCACCGGACGGGGCGGGGCTGTGTCACTGCCCCCGGGACAGCGCCCGTGTCTTCCTCTGCCCGCCGCGGGCAATCGGCAGTGGCGCCGGCTCCGGCCGGGGAGCAGCGCGGTTTAGAGCCGGGCCGCCGCCCCGGGCGCCAAGAATGACGCCCAGCTGAGTTTCCCAGCCCCGGGCCGGGCCGGGCTGTTCCCGCGGGCGGGACCTCAGGGCAGGCGCAACCTCGGCCCCGGACAACCCTCAGAAACGGCCCCGCCTATTGGCTCGCCGAGCACGGCGGCCTTTGGTAGGGCAGCGGTGATTGGCCCCCGCCCGAGCCGCGCGCTGCCGGCTGGCCAGCCCCTCTGAGAGAGGGAAGGCAGGCCGCGTACGGGTGGGCGGGAACGAGCGTGCGCCAAGTGGCTTCCTGACTGGGCTGCAGGAAAATGACGTCCTGAGTTCTCATTGGCAATGTGTGTGTCAGTCCGCTGGTGCCTTTCACTGATTCGCGGAGCTGGCAGGCAGGGCCTTCCTCTCGTTGGGCGCCCGGGATGCCAGTCAGCCCCCGGGTCCTGTGATTGGTGATCGCCAGTAGTGATCCTTTCCCGCAGGGCGTGCCCTTTCCCCCCGTGCCCGATGATTGGTGCTCAGAGGGCACCGCCGAGCCGCGATTGGCTGCTCCGGCCCGGCCCGCGGCCGCGAAGTGGGCGGGGCCCATTCCCCCCCCCCGGTTTCCCAGCGGTGCCGCGCGCGGGGCCCAGGCAGGCCGCGCGGCGGGCGGGATGGCGGTGGCGGTGCGCGCGCTGCAGGAGCAGCTGGAGAAGGCCAAGGAGAGCCTCAAGCACGTGGACGAGAACATCCGCAAGCTCACGGGCCGGGACCCCAATGACGTGAGGTGAGGCCGGGGGCGCCGCTGACCCGCGGAGGGAGGAAGGGCCGGGCGGGGTGCGCGGCGGGCCCGAGGCGCGGGCGGTGCGGAGCTGCCCGCGGGCCCCGCACCTTCTGCGGACCGGGCGTGGCGGCTGCTTTGCCCGCAGCGGGGGGAGCACCGCTAACAGTGGCCACCGTCTCTTGCAGGCCCCCCCAGAACAGGTTGTTAGCCCTCACAGGCCCCGGTGGAGGTAGAGGGCGCGGGAGCTTATTGCTGAGGTAAGGAGGTGCGCGATGGGGGGTCGGGTTTCCCCCATCCGTTCCCTGGCGGTGCTGCCCTTTGCTTTGGTGTTGCCTGTTTCTCGTTTGCCCCCGCTGCTCGCTGTTTCAGTGAGCGCCAGAGCTGCCCGACAGGACTTCGGGGTTTAAGTTTAAAGTGCTTTTTCATTTTGAGTTACCACAAGTTTAAACTGGTGGCCTTCCCCAACCCTTTCACCTATTAACATTAAATGTGAGGGGAGTAACTTCGCATTTCAGGGGAGGAGTTGTCTTTTGTCTGGGACCTTGTCTCTTTGAAGTTGTTCAAGATCAATCTGTTGATAATTAAGAAACTGGCAGATGCTCCAGGAGGAATGGAAAGAGGTGAAATGGGTAGGAACTTTAAAATACATGTAGATAAAATCATAAGTTTTTCATTGTGACTTTTCTTAATCATCTCTCTCCCTTCTCCACGAAGTAGAATGAAAAAGTTTTTGTTTAGCAATTCTTAATGGAGCATGGAGTGGATTTTTCATTGAAACTCAATATTAACCCACCGGTTAAGGCTTAATACATCTTGAAAATGATTGCAGATATGATTATTTGAGCATGATGGGGTCCTTGTTTCAGTGTAGCTGCTCGTTAAGCGCAGAAATTCAAGGTGAAATTAGTTGTCCACAAACAGTACATTTGAACACTTTATTGCAGCAGCAACAGTAAATGGTGATAGAACTGAGCAAAACTTTTGTGTACATCGTGACCACAAAGCCAAAATACAGTTGAATTGTGCAGCCTTGAGGTGGCTCTGGCATTAACCTAACCTGTTCTGAGATCACAAGTGTTTTCTTTTTAGGCGTGGATTCTCTGATAGTGGAGGAGGACCCCCAGCCAAACAGAGGGATCTTGAAGGTGCATCCAGTAGGTGGGTGCAAAAACTGATGCAGAGAACTTGCTTTTCAGAATGAGAATTTGTAACAGTAAATCGATAACTGTTAATAGCTGATGACTTTCACTGTCTTCTTTGGAGATTACATATTCAAGGCTCGTTGGAATTAATTTGGGTGATTTCAAATGACTGCGGTGAAATCTTTTTCATGCCTTAGGGCAATATAAAGATGATAGCACTAATATAATGATGTAGTGATACAAAGACAAGTGGAATTTTCTGTTTTACTGGATGTACAATTTGCTGTATTATATTCTGCTTAGTAGCCAGGTTGTCTACAGTAAACATAACTTGAATTATAATTGAAATCTCTTCAATAAACTGAACGAACGCAGGCAGTGTGACAGTGGACTCAGATTTTGAGCTTTCACGTCTGGATGCAGATCCATCAGATGTGACTGATAACTGTGAGCTGAAGTTCTGTGGGCACTTAACATGCAGTGGTAGTTCATGCCTAAAGCAAGGCTTGCTTTGGAGTTTTTGAGTTAATGGACAGTGAACACTGGAAGACAGGGAAGTGCTGTGCCACAAAGCTGAAATTTGGCTTTGTGCCATAAAGTCAAATAACTTCTATTTAAATTATTTATTTTAATTTTTGCTTTATTTAAATTATTTATTTTATGTTGTTTTGTGATAAAACTTTAGTTCATCTATGTTCTCAGATGCTAAGCCCTCTGCCCCTCCTCACTTGTTTTTTAGGTATTTGACTGGTTTACTTAGATAGCATTTCCCATTTGAGAAATCATACCAACCTTTCTACCTCGATGCATTTCAATCTGTCTAGTGATCCCTTTATACCAGTAGCCATTTTAGAGGGTCAGCAAAAAGGAAAGTGCTAACACTGAAAACAAGACATAAATTCCAAATCTATTCTACCATCTGAAATATGGTAGTGTTGTGAAGTCTTGTGTTTTACTTTACTGTGTAGGTTGTATTAAAATTTAAACTATTATGTCTCAGTGATTTTCACCAATAGTAGATTTTCTCTGTAAAATGTTATGTACTGGTTATTAGAACAGTGGGGAGATATTTACTGGAAGTGTTTGTTCTTCTGACTAGATATGCTGACTTGTATTTTTGTCCTGTTAGAAGAGATGCTCTCCTAAATGACATTGTTCTGTAATGGCCACTAACAATTTTTGCTCCTCAGGCTGGGTGGAGAACGTCGGACAAGAAGAGAATCACGCCAAGAAAGCGACGCAGAGGATGACGATATTAAAAAGGTAATATATGATAAAAGGAGCTGTGCAGGAAGAAATTTACCTACAACGTGATGAACAAAGTAGTTTGCTTTTTTTGTTGTAGCCAGCGTTGCCATCTTCTGTTGTTGCTACCTCCAAAGAGCGAACGCGTCGAGACCTTATACAAGATCAAAATATGGATGAGAAAGGAAAACAAAGGTATGCAGAAATGTTTAAACACTAACGTGATACTTTTGAGTGCTAGCATAGGAAGTAACTTTGGATTTAAAAAGTATAACACACAGGCTGTTATGTATAAAAGATTATGTTGAAGAGTTACCGTAAAGGTGTCAAATTTATTTTAAGGAATACTCTCTGAAAACACAGCAGTAACATGCACATTGTTAGGTTGAGGTAACTGACAGGGAATTCTACTTCTCAGGCCCCCTACAGGAACAGGTTTGCTAATGCTGTTGTAACATTGCCTTTGAATAAAACAGAAATATATTTAGCTTCATTGGTCCATTAACTTTTTGGGCTGTTACAGCTGTCTTGGTTCATCATTTATTTTGTTGATTGAGGGAGGCTTTTGGGTGTATGCTCCTCTCGTCCCCAGCTTTTTTCTAAAACACAGTAGTTCCATCATGTGGGGTTTTTTGTGTGTTCAGTCTGGACCTTCATTTTTACCTGCTACTTTTTAGATTTCTCCTACATGTATCTCCTTTTTCCTGTATTTTATTTGTCTCAGGGTAGCTTATTAAAATTCTTGTTGAAATGTAGTTCTGTTTGTAAAAAGTGTTGGAAAACCAAATTTGCAACTGTGTCCAAACTCCTTACACTCAATCTCCTTCAGACTGCAAGTCGCCTGGTGCAATAATCCGTACCTCAAATAAATAGAAGAATGAAAACTGGAATAAGGATCTATAGAAGGTTTCTCTGATAAGGCCTACAAATCAGCTGGTACAGAAAACTGGCACTTTGCTCGCTTCTTTTAATTATCACACCACTAATGGTCTGCTCTTGCTTCCGTTACCAGTTTCCAACTGCTTCTCTCACAGGAAGACTTTCAAAATTCTTAGTGAACTTCCTAGAGCTTCAGGCACTAAAAGTTTGTTCCCTCAGAATTGTAGTTTTACTGTTTTTCACTTCAGTAGTCTCAGGGGAGATGAGAAAACCAGTATTGGTCTCTGTATGACTTGTGGTGGAAAGAGGTTCTTTAAGAGGACAGCATTTTCTGAACTCCTGATTTTGCACGGTGCCTTCTGGGATGTCATTCGTATACAAATGCACTTTGAGTGATCTTTGGCTTTCAATCCTTTACTTGTTCCTGTTTCTACTTTTTAATGTACAAGTCCCTTTACCTATTCCATGTCAGGTTTGTGCCACTGTAGCAGAGTGGTGCTTAGTGAAGACAGTAGCATTTCCTTTCTCTCTTAATCGGGAAAAAGTTCAAAGCAAATAAGAGAGTCTGCCTCTTGTTGTACAGACTTAATTTGGGATTAAATAGAAAGAAAAGGTGAAGTCAAGAATACAGTTCTGGTTTTGAAGAAGGGAATTTGTTGAAGAATTTTACTTACTTTTCTCAAAACAACACCTAATTGGATGAGAGCACTGGCTTCATCCCACAGTGCAGTGTCTCATTGTTAGGCAACTGTGATAGATAAGCTTTCACTCCCCTTTGGCTCCATTTCTCCTTAGTCCTGTAAACAGGTTGTGAACAGGGGAGTTTATGTTTTTCAGAAAGTCCAGTGACTTTCCAGTTTGCTGCCTTATTGATACCTCCCACTGTATTTACTCGAATCTTCTTTTCTTCAGTGCTCTCTGCATTAGGACTATTTCCTTAGTGTCATTATTTCTAGATGAAAAATATGCAGGCTTCCAATTTTCCCAGTACTAGCTGTGCTGAGTTATGGATAAGACCTGTGTCTTAAGCAAAATGATAT